AGACCCATAGACTCACCACACACAGAGACCCATAGACTCACCACACACAGAGACCCATAGATTCACCACACAGAGACCACAGACTCACCACACACAGAGACCCATAGACTCACCACACACAGAGACCCACAGACTCACCACACAGAGACCCACAGACTCACCACACAGAGACCCACAGACTCACCACACACAGAGACCCATAGACTCACCACACACAGAGACCCATAGACTCACCACACACAGAGACCCATAGACTCACCACACACAGAGACCCACAGACTCACCACACACAGAGACCCATAGACTCAGCACACAGAGACTCATAGACTCATCACCACACAGAGACTCATAGACTCAGCACACACAGAGACCCATAGACTCAGCACACACAGAGACTCATAGACTCACCACACACAGAGACTCATAGACTCACCACACAGAGACTCATAGACTCACCACACAGAGACTCATAGACTCACCACACAGAGACCCATAGACTCATCACACACAGAGACCCATAGACTCAGCACACAGAGACTCATAGACTCATCACACACAGAGACCCATAGACTCAGCACACACAGAGACCCATAGACTCAGCACACAGAGACTCATAGACTCACCACACAAAGACCCATAGACTCAGCACACAGAGACTCATAGACTCACCACACAGAGACCCACAGACTCACCACGCAGAGACCCATAGACTCACGACACAGAGACCCATAGACTCATCACACAGAGAGACCCATAGACTCACCACACAGAGACCCATAGACTCAGCACACACAGAGAGCCATAGACTCACCACACAGAGACCCATAGACTCATCACACAGAGAGCCATAGACTCACCACACAGAGACCCATAGACTCACCACACAGAGAGACCCATAGACTCACCACACAGAGACTCACAGACTCACCACACACAGAGACTCACAGACTCACCACACACAGAGACCCATAGACTCACCACATAGAGACTCATAGACTCAACACACAGAGACCCACAGACTCACCACACAGAGAATCATAGACTCACCACACAGAGACCCATAGACTCATCACACAGAGACTCATAGACTCACCACACAGAGACTTACAGACTCACCACACACAGAGACCCATAGACTCACCACACACAGACTCATAGACTCAGCACACAGAGACCCATAGACTCAGCACACAGAGACCCATAGACTCACCACACAGAGACCCATAGACTCACCACACAGAGACCCATAGACTCACTACACAGAGACCCATAGACTCACCACACAGAGACCCACAGACTCACCACACAGAGACCCATAGACTCACCACACAGAGACCCACAGACTCACCACACAGAGACCCACAGACTCACCACACAGAGACCCATAGACTCACCACACACAGAGACCCATAGACTCACCACACACAGAGACCCATAGACTCACCACACACAGAGACCCATAGACTCACCACACACAGAGACCCACAGACTCACCACACACAGAGACCCTATAGACTGAGCACACAGAGACCCATAGACTCACCACACAGAGACCCATAGACTCACCACACAGAGACCCATAGACTCACTACACAGAGACCCATAGACTCACCACACAGAGACCCACAGACTCACCACACAGAGACCCACAGACTCACCACACACAGAGACCCATAGACTCACCACACACAGAGACCCATAGACTCACCAACACAGAGACCCATAGACTCACCACACAGAGACCCACAGACTCACCACACAGAGACCCACAGACTCACCACACAGAGACCCACAGACTCACCCCACACAGAGACCCATAGACTCACCACACACAGAGACCCATAGACTCACCACACACAGAGACCCATAGACTCACCACACACAGAGACCCACAGACTCACCACACACAGAGACCCATAGATTCACCACACAGAGACCCATAGACTCACCACACACAGAGACCCACAGACTCACCACACAGAGACCCACAGACTCACCACACAGAGACCCACAGACTCACCACACAGAGACCCACAGACTCATCACACACAGAGACCCATAGACTCACCACACACAGAGACCCATAGACTCACCACACACAGAGACCCATAGACTCACCACACACAGAGACCCATAGATTCACCACACAGAGACCACTAGACTCACCACACACAGAGACCCATAGACTCACCACACACAGAGACCCACAGACTCACCACACAGAGACCCACAGACTCACCACACAGAGACCCACAGACTCACCACACACAGAGACCCATAGACTCACCACACACAGAGACCCATAGACTCACCACACACAGAGACCCATAGACTCACCACACACAGAGACCCATAGACTCACCACACACAGAGACCCATAGACTCACCACACAGAGACCCATAGACTCACCACACACAGAGACCCACAGACTCACCACACAGAGACCCATAGACTCACCACACAGAGACCCACAGACTCACCACACAGAGACCCATAGACTCACCACACAGAGACCCACTAGACTCACCACACAGAGACCGATAGACTCACCACACAGAGACCCATAGACTCACCACACACAGAGACCCATAGACTCACCACACACAGAGACCCATAGACTCACCACACACAGAGACCCATAGACTCACCACACACAGAGACCCATAGACTCACCACACACAGAGACCCATAGACTCAGCACACAGAGACCCATAGACTCACCACACAGAGACCCATAGACTCACCACACAGAGACCCATAGACTCACTACACAGAGACCCATAGACTCACCACACAGAGACCCACAGACTCACCACACAGAGACCCACAGACTCACCACACACAGAGACCCATAGACTCACCACACACAGAGACCCATAGACTCACCACACACAGAGACCCATAGACTCACCACACAGAGACCCACAGACTCACCACACAGAGACCCACAGACTCACCACACAGAGACCCACAGACTCACCACACACAGAGACCCATAGACTCACCACACACAGAGACCCATAGACTCACCACACACAGAGACCCATAGACTCACCACACACAGAGACCCACAGACTCACCACACACAGAGACCCATAGATTCACCACACAGAGACCCATAGACTCACCACACACAGAGACCCACAGACTCACCACACAGAGACCCACAGACTCACCACACAGAGACCCACAGACTCACCACACAGAGACCCACAGACTCACCACACACAGAGACCCATAGACTCACCACACACAGGCCCCCATAGACTCACCACACACAGAGACCCATAGACTCACCACACACAGAGACCCACAGACTCACCACACACAGAGACCCATAGATTCACCACACAGAGACCCATAGACTCACCACACAGAGACCCACAGACTCACCACACACAGAGACCCATAGACTCACCACACACAGAGACCCATAGACTCACCACACACAGAGACCCATAGACTCACCACACACAGAGACCCACAGACTCACCACACACAGAGACCCATAGATTCACCACACAGAGACCCATAGACTCACCACACACAGAGACCCACAGACTCACCACACAGAGACCCATAGACTCACCACACAGAGACCCACAGACTCACCACACAGAGACCCATAGACTCACCACACAGAGACCCACAGACTCACCACACAGAGACCCACAGACTCACCACACAGAGACCCATAGACTCACCACACACAGAGACCCATAGACTCACCACACACAGAGACCCATAGACTCACCACACACAGAGACCCATAGACTCACCACACACAGAGACCCACAGACTCACCACACACAGAGACCCATAGACTGAGCACACAGAGACCCATAGACTCACCACACAGAGACCCATAGACTCACCACACAGAGACCCATAGACTCACTACACAGAGACCCATAGACTCACCACACAGAGACCCACAGACTCACCACACAGAGACCCACAGACTCACCACACACAGAGACCCATAGACTCACCACACACAGAGACCCATAGACTCACCACACACAGAGACCCATAGACTCACCACACAGAGACCCACAGACTCACCACACAGAGACCCACAGACTCACCACACAGAGACCCACAGACTCACCACACACAGAGACCCATAGACTCACCACACACAGAGACCCATAGACTCACCACACACAGAGACCCATAGACTCACCACACACAGAGACCCACAGACTCACCACACACAGAGACCCATAGATTCACCACACAGAGACCCATAGACTCACCACACACAGAGACCCACAGACTCACCACACAGAGACCCACAGACTCACCACACAGAGACCCACAGACTCACCACACAGAGACCCACAGACTCACCACACACAGAGACCCATAGACTCACCACACACAGAGACCCCATAGACTCACCACACACAGAGACCCATAGACTCACCACACACAGAGACCCACAGACTCACCACACACAGAGACCCATAGATTCACCACACAGAGACCCATAGACTCACCACACACAGAGACCCACAGACTCACCACACAGAGACCCACAGACTCACCACACAGAGACCCACAGACTCACCACACACAGAGACCCATAGACTCACCACACACAGAGACCCATAGACTCACCACACACAAAGACCCATAGACTCACCACACACAGAGACCCACAGACTCACCACACACAGAGACCCATAGATTCACCACACAGAGACCCATAGACTCACCACACACAGAGACCCACAGACTCACCACACAGAGACCCACAGACTCACCACACACAGAGACCCACAGACTCACCGCACAAAAGTTGAAGCGAAATAAAATTGTATTTTTGCGAGGCTGACACCAAATAAAAGTCAGCATCCACCAACGAAATGACGAGGCCCCTCTCCAGCTGGTGGAGGCCCCTGGCCTGACTCCGGCCCTGCCTCGTCGTCGTAGCGGCCTGCCCTAGATGACTCCGGGCGCGAACGCCGCGGTGACGACTCCCTCCCTGCTGCAGCGCTGCTCCAGGCCGAGACGGATTCGTTTGGCGGGAACATTCGGCTCCGCGGGGTTCGCACCAAGTACCACATCTGCATGGACAGGAATGGCAAGCTGGTGGGCAAGGTGGGCGGAGGCGAAACTCGCTCACTCAACCACTCACTCACTCGCTCAACCACTCACTCACCCACCCACTCACTCACTCAACCACTCACCCACCCACTCACTCGCTCGCCCACTCATCCACTCACTCAACCACTCACCCACTCACTCGCTCACTCAACCACTCACCCACTCACTCACTCGCTCACCCACGCTCTCACTCAACCACTCACCCACTCAACCACTCACTCACTCGCACACTCACTCGCTCACCCACTCATCCACTCACTCACCCACTCACTCACTCAACCACTCACTCACTCGCTCACTCACTCACTCAACCACTCACACACCCACTCACTCACCCACTCACTCAACCACTCATCCACCCACTCGCTCACCCACTCACCCACTCACTCACTCAACTACTCACCCACTCACCCACTCACTCAATCACTCACCCACCCACCCACTCACTCACTCAACCACTCACTCACTCGCTCACCCACTCACTCACTCAACCACTCACCCACTCACCCACTCACTCACTCACCCACTCACTCACTCAACCACTCACCCACTCACCCACCCACTCACCCACTCACTCACCCACCCACTCACCCACTTACCCACTCACCCACTCACTCACTCAACCACTCACTCACTCGCTCAACCACTCACTCATCCACCCACTCACTCACTCAACCACTCACCCACCCACTCACTCGCTCGCCCACTCACCCACTCACTCAACCACTCACCCACTCACTCGCTCACTCAACCACTCACCCACTCACTCACTCGCTCACCCACTCACTCACTCAACCACTCACCCACTCAACCACTCACTCACTCGCACACTCACTCGCTCACCCACTCACTCACCCATTCACTCACTCAACCACTCACTCACTCGCTCACTCACTCACTCAACCACTCACACACCCACTCACTCACCCACTCACTCACTCAACCACTGACCCACCCACTCGCTCACCCACTCACCCACTCACTCACTCAACTACTCACCCACTCACCCACTCACTCACTCACCCACCCACCCACTCACTCACTCAACCACTCACTCACTCGCTCACCCACTCACTCACTCAACCACTCACCCACTCACCCACTCACTCACTCACCCACTCACTCACTCAACCACTCACCCACTCACCCACCCACTCACCCACTCACTCACCCACCCACTCACCCACTTACCCACTCACCCACTCACTCACTCAACCACTCACTCACTCGCTCACCCACTCACTCACTCAACCACTCACCCACACCCACTCACCCACCCACTCACCCACTCACCTACTCACTCACTCACCCACTCACTCACTCAACCACTCACCCACTCACCCACTCACCCACCCACTCACGTCCTAACCCCCCCCCCCCCCGCCCCGCCCATCGCGGGCAGCTGTCCGGGCGCTACCGAGGCTGCGTCTTCAGCGAGCTCTACCTTGAGAACCATTACACGGCGCTGCGGTGTGCCCTGCTGCCAGAGCGCTACGCCGCCTTCGGCCGGAGCGGGCGCGCCAAGAACGGCGGGCGGACGACGAGCCGCTGGCAGGTGGCTCACTTCCTCAATAGGCCCGCGAGGGGCCAATCACAGAGGCCGCCCTCGGCCACCTTCTGGGTGGTAGGGCCGTGAGTCTATGGGTCTCTGTGTGGTGAGTCTATGGGTCTCTGTGTGGTGAGTCTATGGGTCTCTGTGTGTGGTGAGTCTGTGGGTCTCTGTGTGTGGTGAGTCTATGGGTCTCTGTGTGTGGTGAGTCTATGGGTCTCTGTGTGTGGTGAGTCTATGGGTCTCTGTGTGGTGAGTCTGTGAGTCTCTGTGTGTGGTGAGTCTGTGGGTCTCTGTGTGTGGTGAGTCTATGGGTCTCTGTGTGTGGTGAGTCTGTGGATCTCTGTGTGGTGAGTCTATGGGTCTCTGTGTGGTGAGTCTATGGGTCTCTGTGTGGTGAGTCTATGGGTCTCTGTGTGGTGAGTCTATGGGTCTCTGTGTGTGGTGAGTCTGTGGGTCTCTGTGTGTGGTGAGTCTGTGGGTCTCTGTGTGGTGAGTCTATGGGTCTCTGTGTGTGGTGAGTCTATGGGTCTCTGTGTGGTGAGTCTGTGAGTCTCTGTGTGTGGTGAGTCTGTGGGTCTCTGTGTGTGGTGAGTCTATGGGTCTCTGTGTGTGGTGAGTCTGTGGGTCTCTGTGTGGTGAGTCTATGGGTCTCTGTGTGTGGTGAGTCTATGGGTCTCTGTGTGGTGAGTCTATGGGTCTCTGTGTGGTGAGTCTATGGGTCTCTGTGTGGTGAGTCTGTGGGTCTGTGTAGTGAGTCTATGGGTCTCTGTGTGGTGAGTTTGTGGGTCTCTGTGTGGTGAGTCTGTGGGTCTCTGTGTGGTGAGTCTATGGGTCTCTGTGTGGTGAGTCTATGGGTCTCTGTGTGGTGAGTCTATGGGTCTCTATGTGGTGAGTCTGTGGGTCTCTGTGTGGTGAGTGGGTCTCTGTGTGGTGAGTCTGTGGGTCGCTGTGTGGTGAGTCTGTGGGTCTCTGTGTGGTGAGTGGGTCTCTGTGTGGTGAGTCTGTGGGTCTCTGTGTGGTGAGTCTGTGGGTCTCTGTGTAGTGAGTCTATGGGTCTCTGTGTGTGGTGAGTCTATGGGTCTCTGTGTGGTGAGTCTATGGGTCTCTGTGTGGTGAGTCTATGGGTCTCTGTGTGGTGAGTCTATGAGTCTCCGTCTGTTCTTGTTTGCGTTCAATAAAAGTCAACGCATTGGTTTGGAAAACGACAGTCAAGTGTCTCTTTGTATAGAATGTTGCGTTGTGGTTTTTGATGTTTGAAATGAAGGTTTAGCGTGGGAGAGGGGGGAGAGAAAAACATAGAGGGGGGAGAGGGGGGGAGAGGGAGGGGGGAGGGAGGGGGAAGAGGGGGGAGGGAGAGGAGGGAGGGGGGAGAGGGGGGAGGGAGGGAGGGAGGGGGAGAGGAGAGGGGGGAGGGAGGGGGGGGAGGAGGCGCCTCGCCCCTCCCCCCCATGTCGGGTGACGTCACCTGCTCATGATTATTAATGGAGGGGCGGGTCCACGTGGAGGCTGTAACCTGTTCATTATTGAGAGGGGGGCTGGTCCATGTGGAGCGACGTCACGGGCGTTAAGGACAGACGTTCCTGGGTGATTAGAGGCGGCATGACTTACTCGACGAGCCATACCAACATCGCTACGGATTGACGAGTCTGTGAATTCACAGGGGTGCAACAATCGGCAAAACGTTAACAGTCGAAGGTTTCGTTAGGCCAAGGGCGTTCCCTCGACGTGCGCAAATGCATTTTCTTACTTATCAAGCGCTGGCACATCGCAGATTGTCGCAACTCGTCAATCTTCGCGCGAACTCGCGAGGGACACGGTCGCTTGTTTGCCGTTCGTACACGCCACGCTCCGTTCACAAAGGGGGGTTTTCTAATTAAAATCTTCGTTGGCGGCGGACAATGCGAACGTCTCTCTGACGTGAGAAAACCGGAACCCGCTTTCCCGTGCTCGCCGTGTGAAGATGAGGCGCCGCTAGGCGAACGTGGAATCGCCGCCACGCTCCGTCTCATCGCCCCCGTCCGAACAGCTGAGATGCGTGACGGGGGTCAAGTTGTTCGAAGCGAGGAGAAGTCGAGGTTTCGTTTGGAGCTTGAGAGATTGGTGTTCCCGTCCTCCGTGCTTGAATACACAATTCAGTGCCCCCTCGGGCGCCTTCACAAGTTCCTGGAAGGTGCCCGTTCACACGCCACGCGCTTCACTTACCTCTCTCCGTTCCTCAGCAAGCCGCTCGCGTCTCGACGGGGGTAATCCAAGCGGGCTTTTGTAAAAGCGTAAAGTGTGAAGTTTTGAATATAGAATCGTGCAAATTATCGCGAGCATAAGCAATGCCGCCATTTGCAATGTGGGTCGGTAGGTGGGGATTTCCACGCTGCAGATGGTGGTCCAGAGTCTGCGTCGATTACGTGGAGGTGCTGTAGGCCAGGGATTAACTCGCGTTACCCCTTAGTACTTTGATTTAAAGCTTTCGTGACTGCAGTGATTCATATTCTTAGCTCTTTCGGTAAAGTCACGTTGAAGGGAAACAATAAAATATATATAAAACAATAAAAATTCTCACGACGTTTCGACCATAACACAAATGGTCATCATCAGGTGTGTTATGGTGTTACGGTCGAAACGTCATGAGAATTTTTATTGTTTTATAATATCCGCAGTACATAAAATATAAAATGTACTAAGGGGTATATTCTGAGCTCTTTCGGTAAAGTTACGTTGAAGGGAAACAATTAAATAATAAAATATATATTAAACAATAAAAATTCTCACACCTGATGACGACCGTTTGTGTTATGGTCGAAACGTCGTGATAATTTTTATTTAACACGTAGGCTTTCGCAACCAATATTATTCATAATAAAGGTTTTTGGGTTAGGTCGACCTATCAATTTATTATTTTATTCTCATTCTACGTGACTTTACCGAAAGAACCAAAGAAGAGGTTTCCAATGTTGTGTAAATGCTTCACCCCGAGCTCTCATACTCTGATGGTGGTGCATTGTCTTTGAGTTGTGCGCCTTTTGACGTCATCAGGTCCAACACCAATGTGAGACTGGGCTCTAAGGAAAGCTGTCTCGGGTGTGGACCAATCAATTTCAAGGACAGTGCCACATACATTATCAGAGTTGTTGTTTTGTGTTTGCGTTCCGACCGCAGGTATTGTGGTCAATGTAAACACGACTCCTTGTCAAAAAGGTGTCAGTTTTGTTGCCAGATAAAAGCGTAAAAAAACCAATTATCATATTTTTGCTCCTGGCAAAGGAGGCTCCAATGGTCTTATTGGTTCTACCTCCAGGCTGCCAAGTCACAGAGGATGTTGCCAATGCGGTGCCAACTCTGGATGCCAGAGGGTGTTGCAGTTCGCGGGGGCAAAACATGTGCAGGGTGGATGAGTGGCAGGTGATGGACACGGGCACGAGAGCAGAGGGCCGAGATAGGAGAGCAGCAAGCTGCAGACGCCCACCGGTGCAAGGCGACGCGAATGTCAGAACCAACTATTTGATGCACGCCAACGATACGCTCACGTCACACTGAGGCTGATCGAGTGAACAAAAACTGCAAATTGGAGGCAGAAAAAGCAACGACACAAACGAGACGGTAAATGAAAGAAGACGAAAACTTTATTTTCGAATCAAATCGCGGCCCTCTACATTTCGAAAACGGATCGATTCACTGCGAGGAATGAATCGGAACTCAAAAATGTAGCCACTGTGTGCAACACAAGAGGATTTTTTTAACATCCACAGGTTAGAGAAATCATCGGTAAATTAACACGTTATATCGGGACTAATGCTTCTTGTTTGACATAAGTGTCTTCTAGTACTGCAGAAATAATACTGTGTAGGAACCTCCTGGTTATTACACCACCAGCCCACAGGGGATTATTGTTGTGTCAGTCCGTCGTGCATCCACAAATGGGAGGGGTGGGGCTGGGTGGGGAGGGGAGGGTGGGGAGGGGCTGGGTGGGGAGGGGCTGGGTGGGTAGGGGATGGGTGGGGAGGGGAGGGTGAGGAGGGGAGGGTGGGGAGGGGCTGGGTGGGGAGGGGCTGGTCACCCCGTGGTGCCCTTATAAACTCAACGTTTCACCTACTCACCCCGGCTTGTGCCCGCCCTCACAGTCGGGCATATTGTGCTGAATACACCACGTGGTGCTGAATACACCACGTGGTGCTGAATACACCACGTGGTGCTGAACACACCACGTGGTGGTGCCGCCGTTGTTGACCCTGGCCATTGACCGAGCAACCCAACACGTTCCTACTAGCTCCCTCCCTCCGCAGGAGAATGTTGTAACAGAGAGCGTCCAATGGCACTTGGAGCGTGACGAGACATTGCTCAGCGCGAGCCCGATGAGCTGTGTAGACGTGCCAGCTGCAATGCAATCTGCTGCAGCTGTGGACCAATTTGGTTGAACCACAACGATACATCACAAAGCTTCCAAATTGACTTACGGCCGGCGACTTGGCTGAGGCGAGTGAGACGTGGGAAACCGTGCGCGGCACTCGGCACGTGGGGGCACAGTTAAAAGTGAACACGTGAATGACATTAACAAAACAACTTATTTGGTTCTTTCGGTAAAGTCACCACGTAGAATGAGATTAAAATAATAAATTGATAAAATAAAATAAAATTCTCACGACGTTTCGGCCACAACACGAGCGGCCTTCATCAGGTGAAGGGACGAGACTGTCTGGAGGACAGCGCTGGAGTGAACACAGCCAAGCTCAGACCGCGACCTTTAAGCTGTGTGAGAAGAAACAGAGCGCCTTGACAAAGGAATTAGCATTGACTTTAACATAGCCATTTCTGTGACCAGTCACAAGCTAATCACTCAGCTATTCAATCCTAAATTCAATGCTAATTCCTTTGTCAAGGCGCTCTGTTTCTTCTCACACAGCTTAAAGGTCGCGGTCTGAGCTTGGCTGTGTTCGCTCCAGCGCTGTCCTCCAGACAGTCTCGTCCCTTCACCTGATGAAGGCCGCTTGTGTCGTGGCCGAAACGTCGTGAGAATTTTATTGTTATTTTATTTTATCAATTTATTATTTTATTCTCATTCTACGTGGTGACTTTACTGAAAGAACCAAAGAAGATGAATCCTTGCAGTTACGAAAGCTTTAAGTCGAAAATTAACAAAACAACTGGCACAGACGCGGCACACACCAACTACAACAACGACAACAACAAAACAATCGGCATTCACACCTGTGCATTCCCCCAGTTCGGCGTGGACCGGGGGGGTATCACCGAGGGCAACGCCGAGTGGACCGCCCGTGTCAGAGAAGGCGTGGAGGCGGTGGCGGCGGCGTCGGCGGCGGCGCCCTCCGGGCGAAAGGTTTCCCCGGAGAAACGGCCGCCGGGCCGAACTTGAAGCTGCAACGAGGAGAACGACAAAGCCCACCAATCGCTGTGAGAATTTCGATTTAAAGCTTTCGTGACTGCAAGGATTCATCTTCTTTGGTTCTTTCGGTAAAGTCACCACGTAGAATGAGAATAAAATAATAAAATAAAACAATAAAATTATCGCGACGTTTCAGACACAACACAAGTGGCCTTCAGGTGAAGGGAACAGACCTGACAAAGCCTCAACTTTAGCACCACGGATAGCAACGAGCTATGAACTCGTCCGTCTGAACGGGGCTCGTAGCTATCCATGGTGCTGAAGTTGAGGCTCTGTCGTCCCGACAGGTCCGTTCCTTTCACATGAAGAAGGCCACTTGTGTTGTGGCCGAAACGTCGTGAGAATTTTATTGTGTTATTTTATTTTATTAATTTATTATTTTATTCTCATTCTAAGAGGTGACTTTACCAAAAGAACCAAAGAAGACGCCGTGAGAGCCGCGAGGCTCGCGATACTTTTGGTGGCCTTGTTTTAAGATTGATTTTTGACTTTCTGCCGGGGTGACGATCTCTGAATTAATTTAAGACCGGCTGCATTTGAAAAAAACGCGAATACGTCGCGATCGGCCGTGTTCTAAATGGTCTCCCCTCCCACGGCTAACCGATCCTTCATAATCCTGCAATGCCAGAACTGCGCTCCTGCGCATGAGATCATCTCCATCTGGCTCCACGGTCACTGCTACAGGGGAGCGTTTTCTCCTTTGGGTGCCATTCCATCAATTAAGTCTTGTGCGAATGCTATCATCCTACGTCATCCTGGCCAAGAGCCCCTCTTGCTTTAAAGTCAACAAGATGCCACTTTATTTATCCCAAGCCCCAACAGCTTCATCTTGACCCGCGCTGGTTCCGTCAACCCAACCGAGAACGGCTCAAAGCTCGGTGGGAGGGGGTCACCTCCGCTCGTCGCCGCGACCTCTCACCCCGGTGATGAAGGCCGCTTGTGTTATGGCCAAAACGTCGTGAGAATTTTTATTGTGTTATTTTATTTTATCAATTTATTCTTTTACCGAAAGAACCAAAGAAGATGAATCCTTGCAGTCACGAAAGCTTTAAATCGAAATTTAACCGCCTCTACGGGGAGGGATTCCACACAACCTTAAGATCATTCAACAGACTCCGGGATAAGAAGGCTCAACTAATCGAGTCTCTCACCTTTCTGAAGAGATGCCGCGACTCTAAGAGCTTAAAGGTCGCGATCTGAGCGTGGCTGTGTTCGCTCCAGCGCTGTCCTCCAGACAGTCTCGTCCCTTCACCTGATGAAGGCCGCTTGTGTTGTGGCCGAAACGTCGTGAGAATTTTTATTGTGTTATTTTATTTTATTAATTCATAATTTTATTCTCATTCTATGTGGTGGTGACTTTACCGAAAGAACCAAAGAAGATGAATCCTCGCAGTCACGAAAGCTTCAAATCGAAACTCTTACCCCAGGTCGAGCTCCCCGGGCGTGCGGCCACCGGGGCCGCAGCACGCCGGCCGGAGCGCGACGAGCCGCTGGTTCACGAGCGCCGGGGGGGTCGACGCCCCCGGCGACGTCGGTCAGCCGATCCGGGTCGCCGGTCGTGTCGTAGGCTCGGACAAACTCCTGTGGGGGGGGGGGGGGGGGGGGGGGGGGGGGCGGGCAGCGAGGAGGTGCAGACAAATATTCTTCGGGTCTTTCGGTAAAGTCGACGCTGGTAGAACGATAAAATAATAACATAAATTAAGTGAACAAAAAAAATATGATAATTGGTTTTTTACCCTTTAATCTGGCAACAAAACTGACACCTTTTTTTACGAGGAATCATGTTTACATTGACCACAATACCTACGGTCGGAACGCAAGATAAAAGGTGTTGTATATGAGCCTTTTCCAAAATTGATATTAACAATAATATTTGCGTTATATATATTTTTTTAACAAACAAAAAAAATAATCAATAAAACCCGTAAGCCAGGCACACGAAAAACCAGATGTCGATCATAAACAGACCATTAAAAAAATAAAGAAATAATAAAACTCTCGAGGCGAGGATGTTAGCAGCTATCTGCGAAGATCTCCAGATGAACAAGAGTTTGATGTGCCCTAAGGGAGGTCACGCAGAGGGAAGCCCTCCGCAAGCCAGAAACGAGGACGCCCACGGGTTAAACCATATTTTTTTCCTTTGTCATTAAAACAACGGTTCAAATTTAAAATGCAATAACAAGAATAAGCTAAAGTTAGCGGTACTCGCGCTCACTCCAATCAAGACCAGGCCACCAGATACATCAGTGAATTATTATCCAATAATTAATTCGCTATCAAATGATTTTCACTTTTAATACTTTTACTGTTAAAACAAAGCTTGGAGACAAAATACCGAGTCACATAAAGGTTATCGAGAAGGAATGAGGCGAACGGGCAAACTTACGAAAGAGTTTAAACAATATCCCAAGCAACCCCGACCACCTGTGTCTCTCTCACAGCGTGGAGAAGCAGGAATTACACCTTATCACAAGGGGCCATCTGGAAAAGCCAGCCGGGTTTGATGAGGAGACACACCCCACCCCACACACGGCAACCAGGCAAACAAAGTTTTAAAGAAAATTGCAATATAACATTAATAATAACGTGTTAACCTTAAACGATATTCCATTATAGAACCTTACAGAACCAAGGGATATGGATTCCAACATTCTGGAAACGGACCTCTTAAACTCAGGATGAAAATGATTTTTCTTTCTAATAACTCCATCATATCAATGCGAACCTCGGTAACCCGAGAGAGGTGTCGGGAGGACGTAGTTACAAACACGAGTCTTGGCGAACATGGGACCAAATGGTATTTGAGAAATATAAAGTCGAAAGTATAAAGAGATAGGTACTCCCGACCACCTTTGTCTCTCTCGAAGAGCGCGAGAGAGGAATTTCACGCCAGGGCAAACAGATCGTTATCGCAGGAGCCATCTGTACACACACACAAACTCACACACACAGACCCCCCCCCCTTTTCCACTGCGCAGAGAGAATTGTCTTTGAATATAACGGTCAGCCGCATTTTCAAAAGTCAGTGAAGTTAAGTCAAGAGTCAAGACAGATCAGCGAGTCAAGACGTCCACAGGACGAGCAGTCGCATGGAGCGGCTGGCTCCGAGCCTCGCTGAGTAGCGAGGATCGCATGAGTCGCGATGTATCAACAAAAGTGAGTCATACAGCAGTGGAGGAAACCTGCTGTCAGCGAACCAGCACGGGCGCGTTCGCGCACTTCAACAGAGAGAGCACGTGCGACTCAACTCACTCAGCAGAAGAAAAACTTGACCTGTCGCCCGCGAGCGCAGCGTCAGATACTACAACAGCGGAAAGAGCGCGCACCGGCGCAGCTCATCCAGCAGTGGAGGAAACTGCTGTCAGCGAATCAGCACGGGCGCGTTCGCGCATCTTCAAGGAGAAAGAGCGCGGCCAGCAACGCCAAGCAAGAGCGTGCAGCAGCTCAGCCAGCAGTGGAGAGAAACTGCTATCAGCGAACCAGCACGGGCGCGTTCGCGCATCTTCAAGGAGAGGGAGCGCGCGCCACCAGCGTGCCATCAGCACCAGCATCAGCACCAGCGCGTGCCAACAGCGCGCCACCAGCGTGCCACCAGCACCAGCACCAGCGCGTGCCAACAGCGTGCCACCAGCGTGCTACAGCGCGCAACTTCGCGTCACCAGGGCTGAGAGGGAAGCGGCCCCGCACTCAACACCCATCGGCGCGACGACGGCGAGCGTCGTGCTGACTCATCCAGCCAGCGGTGGACAGAAACTGGCAGTCGTTCGTATGCCCCTCCCCCACACTCCCTCCTCACTCCCCCACCGCTACACAACGAACAAACATTTTTTTTTGACAAGGAAATCAACCTAGGCGTTTGCTCAACGCAAGAAATCAACAACCCTCCCATTAAACATACAAGACTCATGATAACTGCGTCAACTATTAGCTGATAACGAAAAACATCGCCACCAATTGAGTTACGTTGATGAGGCAATCAGAATTATTTCAGTCGAACGCTTTAATTGCATAATCGTTGATGAATCAATGAACGAACATCGCCGTGGTACTGTGCTGACGATTTCAAGCATAATAATTTCGCATATCAGAATGTGTTAAGGATTGGATACGAATCAAACACCGAGTGCCGTGTTGTGTAATCATTCAAGAATACGAGTTTGCATATTATAAGGTTAAGGTTTTGATAGAATAGTTCGCTTGTTTTTAATCTCTCTCAACAACCGATCGATTGCGTTACGCGTCGGGAATTAACCACAGGTGCCGCTATCAAGGTGAAATAATGCAATCGTGATGGTATCATGTTAACGCTGTGTTGAAATTCCAACATCCCGAGATTGAGTTTTCATATTATCCAAAAATTAAAGTTAGCTAGAAAATAAAATTGATCAAAGCAGAAGGTGATTCTTCCTGAAATTCTGCATAATATTGTTCTGCGTATGAGATCTGAATCCTGGGGACCTATCATAAGCACACTATCACCACACATAATCCATAACACACATAATTCATAATGTTCAATCGAGAGTAATCGTATCCTTATCGATAATACGGAATTAAAGAGCAGAGTCGAATCGACTCTCTCTCATTCACGCTCACAACGCCTGCGTCACTGCATACGATTAATTGCGTTATTCCAATTCATAACACAATCCTCGTCACCGAGGCTCGACCTGATAATCCATAACGACCTGCATTATCATAACCACGCCCACTCGCATAAATTAATACGATTATCTCTCAAATCGGCATAATTTATGCGCATAATTACACTGATTAACATAATTTCGGATAAATTATGCAAATCTCAAATTTCATTTAATTTTAATTATTTTCATCAATTTTCATAACACCTATATATACAACAAAGGGTAAAAAAACAATTATCATATTTTGTTACTGGCAAATGAGGTTTCCAATGTTGTGTAAATGCTTACCCCGAGCTCTCATACTCTGATGGTGCATTGCCTTTGAGTTGTGCGCCTTTTGGCGTCTTCTGGTCCAACACCATGTGAGACGAGGCTCTAAAGAAAGCTGTCTCGGGTGTGGACCAATCAATTTCAAGGACAGTGCCACATACATTATCAGAGTTGTTGTTTTGTGTTTGCGTTCCGACCGCAGGTATTGTGGTCAATGTAAACACGACTCCTTGTAAAAAAAGGTGTCAGTTTTGTTGCCAGATAAATGGGTAAATAAAACAATTATCATATTTTGTAACTGGCAAATGAGGTTTCCAACGGTGTAAAAAAATATATCGCGACATTTCGATCGCAACGCAAGCAAGCAAATCGTTGTCAGGAGAAGAGGAGTGGGGGGAATCTGCCGTGCCGCTGTGCTTGGGGATTGCTGCGTAGCATTAAGCGGCGAGCTCAAAATCATTCGCCCACGAAAGCCTCTTTCTTCTTCATGTACGTCTCTGTGCTTGGGAAGTCGGTGGCAATATCCCAGCCGTGCCCATGTGGCGTTCCACGCCATCGCAAATACCACACACACACCATTCAACTTCCACATCAGCTGCCTCAGACGCAAGCATCGCGTTGTTGTTTATTAAAGTAGGTTCCGCTTACAACATTTTGGCCATATTGTTAGCTCTTTCGGTAAAGTCACGTTGAAGGGAAACAATAAAATAATAAAATATATATAAAACAATTTTTTATTGTTATTATTGATGGAACCAGTGCAGATCAAGATGTTTATTGTTTCCCTTCAACGTGACTTTACCGAAAGAGCTAAGAATATGAATTACTGCAGTCACGAAAGCTTTAAATCAAAATTCAACATTGGGCCAATTGAGATGATTTTTTTTTCACTTGAAAGGAAACCGCAATGCCCGGAGAAAGCCCCGACGCACAAGGGGAGAATCCTTAATCGCTAAACTTGTTAACCTACTTGCTGTACCGCCTCCAAATGGCACATCGCTTTCCATGTGGTGCACTAGAAACTCGGAGCAGAATTTCTTTAATACAATATTTTAATGTATTCAGAGTTGGCGATCTACAATGAAAAAAAAATTACTCTTAAAAACATGTTATGTTACTTGCACTGTTAAAAATAGTTGTCGTTAATTCCCCCATTCGAACCAGCACTGAGCAGCTCTCTGTCTCGGTAAACAATGGAGGTGGAATAATTTAATAACGTAGTTTTAATGTCATCAGGCCTGGAAGGGATGATGTTCTAAATAAATGTACAACCTTCTCATTGCGAGTCAAGAGCGAATAACCGCAGCGATACCCAAAAGATCACTGTGCCAGGATCTGTGGCTTTCTCCATTTGCCAACGCCAGGCAGATCACACTGCCCTTAGACAAAGCGTGAGGTTGCCTTGTTACGCCTCTTGCGCAGTGTGTGCGCGCCTATGTGGGGGAGCTGCTGGCGCAGCGGGTTATCGCACTCTGCCACGAACCCGGCGACCCGAGTTCAATTCCCACTCGGGAGCAAAAAACCTTGGCGGATATCCGACGGGTCTTGAAGTCGACTCAGCCTCAAAGAAGTGCCCGCTACAATGTGTCAACATCACCACTGGGGTGACATTGAAGGCGGCCCGGGCGTGTCGCTGGCCCACCCACCCCCTCACGTGCCATGCCAGGCCTTCATTAGGCGGTCGCGAGCACCGCTTGCCCCAAACGTCTATTGTGGCTATAAGGGGGATCTCAGTCTTGCATATGTGCCAATGTCTGCCTCCGTTGGGATGGGGGTGGGTGGGGGATGGTGGTGCGTTTCATCACCTCCGTGTCGGCGAACTCGCAGTACTGCAGGTTGGCGGAATGGGAGAGGGTGCGCACGCACGCGCACGTGTCGCCGGTCGAGTCCTCGCGCACGCAGTCTGGGAAGCGGTGCTGGTGCTGGGAATGGAACCGTGCAACATTACCGCGAGACGAACGCCTGCGACTGGCAAAATAGTGCAAAATACGTCTCCCCCTGCCTCGTAGCCTCACATCCATTCATTCTCTAAAGGGAGGTCTGATGACCAAATAGTTGAAGGTTAAGAGGTACGGCACCTTATGTTACTTCCTCGTGCTAGACCTCGCGGCTGTCGCGCGGCGAGCACGTGGTGCGCGTTCATTTTCACTGAATCGGCAAATCATTCAATCAATTAATTATTAAACCACGTTTACAAAAAATGTATATTGATCGCCTTCAAAATGACACCCTGCATGAATTTAATCATTTTTAAGTTGTCCAATTTGTGAAACTGCCCACCACAACACTGCCTCGCGTTTGCCGTGACTAGACAAGGCAACATTTTTTTCACAAGTAAATACAACGTCATGGGCATGAGCCCTGAAACGTACGGCGTGTGGCGGGAGAAAGAAAATCTCACGAAGGACGCAACAACAAAAACATCGCACCACTCACTTTGGCCTCGCCTCCCCTCTCGTCCTGTGCACCTTTCTCTCTTCTCGTCCCGCCGCCACCGCCACCGGATACTTCGTCATGGAACTGCGCGGCGGGGTTGTCAAGGCCCGGACGGTCGCGCTCCGAGAGCAACAGAAGCGGCTCGGAGTCACCGGCATCGGAGGGGCGCGCGGCGTGCCGCCGGATTGCGTCTGCGGGGTCCGCCTGCTTTCTCCTGGACTTGAACCCGCACGGGCGGTTTCTCCTCGCCTGCCGCCGGACTCTCGGCCTCCGCTCAAGCGGGCCGCCGCCGTCGGCACCGTCTCCGTTCGGCCCCGCCGGTTTGGCACGACCGAACGGCTTCGCCATCGACCGCATCTCGCCACCCTGCACTGGCGGAAGCTCGGTTGACTCCGAGTCCGCCGGTGACGTCACGGGAGCTTTCGGAGGGCCCTGAGGTCTCACGGGTGCCTTGCGGACGCTGCCGTTTATCTTCTCGAGAAGTTTGGGCTCCGATTTGTTTACCTGCGGCCTCTCCATAACGGGTTTGGGTTTCGGAGGAGGGAGCGACTTCTTGCGTGTCCTCTCGATGTCTTGGCTCGTTATGTTGGCGCACGTGAGTGGATTCATATTCCCCGTGGATTTTTTACGGTGCGTTGTGCTTGGAATAAGCTGAGCTTAATTGCTCGTTGTGCTGTACCGAGGCTGGCCCTCGTCATCGTCGCTCTCGGGTGGCGACGTCAATGACGGCAATGACGCCTGCCGCGGCGTTTCGTTGCGCGATTCCAAAGTGCGGGCACTCTTGTAGTCGTCTTCAACCACAGCCTTCGTCTCCAAAACTTTGGTGAAAAACGTCTTCAGATATTCCTTCTGTCGGTGAAAATGCGGCTGTGCGGGTGCGGCAATGGACTCGGCTCCGATCTCATTCGCAATACGGCTGCCCTCGGGGAAAAGTTCTCTTGCCAGCGCATTTTCCAGAAACTCTGCGGAGCTGTCAGTGATGGCCACGAGCAGAACCGGAATGGCCTCTGTTACGTCGGAGAGGAATGCTCGAAGCATTGCAAAGGAAGCTTTTCTTTTGGCAGAATACACCAAAACGTAGCCATGGGTGAGCTCTTCCCGCTTCAGCATTGCTGCGTGGTAAGAGATGACGGTAACCTTGATCCTTCTGCTCTGCATTCCCACAGACATTTCTAGATTCATGCAGTCGTTGCCAGCAGGATGCCCACTGCTGCAGAATTCCAGAAAGGGCGTTAGGACCGTGCCAATGTCGAAAGGGTCTCCACACATCAGACACATGGTGATGTTCACGTCGGGCGCGCCAGACTCTGGGCTGCTGAATGGGTCGGGCAGAAGGGTCGTGTTCTGGCAAGCATTCACGATCTGACTCAGGGCACGTTTGATCTGTGTTTCATGGAATTGTTTTGGAGATGACATCTCAGAAGGGCAATCGATAAAAGAGACTTGTAGCTTGTCGGCCGCTTGCTGGGCTTGCTGCCGTAGCAAAGGCAGCTTTCTGTCTGTAACGTCCTTCTGATTTGCCAGCATCAAAGCAACAGGAATGCAGCTCGAGAGGCCATCCTTCTTTATGAAGGACGCACAAGAATTCACTCTTCCTAGGCTGTCCACGATGTAATTTAACGATTTCAATGAGTTGAAAGCACACAGACATCCGCTGGGCTGAGAAACGTTACTCTGCATGATGTTTGCAAAGCCCGTCACATCTCCATCCATTGCTTTCAGTTCCAACTCATAAACCTTCCCATTCACCATGAACTCATTTCCGGCCGATTGTTGTTTGATTTCGCTGCAAAGTTTGCTTGCGAGGCCATCTCTACCGAATATTATGACATCAAATGCATCCGCACTGTCAAAATTGATTAAAGATTCCGAACGTTTGCTTACCAATTTGGGAATAGCACTTGAGAGAAGCAGCGGAATTTGCAGGTCAGTGCACTTATCTTTGCTGAAGCAAGACTCCCTGGTTGGGTGACGAACAGAGAACACGTGTTTCAGGATCAGCGCATCTCTCAAGGCAGGCGCCCACTTGAGCGCCTCGTGGCGACCGTCACGTTCCAGGTCCTGGTGAATCTCCGCTATCTCGTCGCGGTCAAACGCTTCGTTTCTGTCCACGCCGGCGAACGTTTCCGAGCGCTCGAGGAGCAGCTCCTGGTATTCGTCTTTCGCTTCATCCGTCATCTTGCCTCGGCACTCTCGGTAGATTGAAACGCGCCCTCGCCCGCACGGCGTCCGCGAGCCCTCCTCGTCGATGAGGAACGACCGTGCGTCATCCCACGGCCTCCCTGGCAACACCTCGCCAGAATTCTCCAACGTGTCGCGAAGGGCTCCCTTCATTTCCTCCTTCTTCCTCAGCACCTGCAATTTCCGCACGTGGGCTTGGAAATGCGAAGGGCCGAACTCTCGCAAAAACGCAACAGGGACACGCCCGTCGGCGACGGCGTTGACGCGACCGCTGTCGGTCCAAACCCCATCGGACAGCTCGACAAACCACAATCCAAACTCTGGTTTCTTCCGCAAGAGCAGCAAAGCCTCGTCCCAGCTGAGGGATTCAATGTCCGTGATGTCAGGGACCAATGAGTTAAAAGCGTCGGGCAGAGAGCTGATGTATTGTGCCACCTTTCCTTCGATATGTGCAGCCTTCAAACGCGTGATGTGTTCTCGAAAGTAACTTTCAGCCCTGTTAGCACCCAGCAAGTCCACAAGCTGGACGTACTCCGGGCAGTCATCCAGTTGCTTGCCAGTCACCTGCCAGGTCACGCGGTAGTCTGTGACAATTTTTGTCAACCGAGAATTATAATCCTTAATGGCACTTTGGTGGTGTTCCTTGACTTCCTTGGCGGCCTTCTCAAATGGCACCAACTTTGGCTTTCCTTTCGGCTTGTCAATCATCTGTGCAAGGAGTCAGAAATGCTGCCGACACATTCACATTGTCACTTGCTGACGTCTCGACTATCGGCAGGCGAACTTTTTTCCCAGAGGCAAACGCTCGAAGTTCCTTCAGGTGCTGCTCATCCAACACGTCACACTTCGTGGCAACCAACAAAATGGGCTTCTTTAATTTCACAAGTTGCGACACCAACTCCTCCAGAAACCTCAACTGATCTCGCAGCATTCTCTGCGCGGAAACGCTGACATCGAAGCACGCCAAGAAGCCGTCAATGTGCAGCTTACTGTCGGGCATTGGATACTGCTCAAAATCTTGCTCGACTCCCAGTTGGTCAGTGCAAATGTACATGAGCTTTTCGGCCGAGGCGAGCCTGGTGGCGGCCGCGCGTTTGACGTAATGCCGGGAGTCGGAGCTCCTGTGTGGCTGGAAAGTGGCGTCGTCAACAAATTCGGTTTGTTCGACGACGTTGAAGGCGTACTCTGGTCCCCCGTCTGCGGTGCACGTTGCCCCGCCCCAGTAAAGGTAGTGGTCGTTATTCACGACCCGACCGCCGAAATCAACTTGGCTCAGTATCGAAGTGTGTTCCGTGTGGTGATAGTCATCCGCTCTTGGCCTTGAGAACCTGCTGCTGAGGCACGACTTGCCTATTCCACAGCTTCCCTTCTCCTTCTCGGTCCCGGAAAGTCCAACAACACTGATGTTGTAGGTCCGCGTTTCCTTGCTGCCTTGACATCGCCGCGCTGCGTGTGACATCGCGCCGCTATTGCACGAGAACAAGGGCAGTTACGGTTCCGTGCGACACGTCGTGATGATTACTTTGGCTCTTTCGTTGCACTTGCAAAACAATATTTTCCCACGTGACTGGCGGTAATAGCAATTACTTGAACAAAAAAAATGTTCACCAACAACGAGGTCCTTTAAATGTTTATTTTTTTTTCCAGATGAGCAATTGTTTCTGAAAGACACAAAAAAACACAGAGGACATTTAAAATATTACAAAAAAAATAACGTTCCACTTGCATTGAGAGCTTAGTTATTTAACGCGGTGAAATCGATGGAAAATAAACACGATTGTCACAATGATTATGTGACGGCAATGTTTCAAATACACCGATGATGTGCCGAGGTGAGTCCAGGAAAAATAAAACGTTGTTCTCAAACAAGCACATGTAAAGCTGTGAGTACAGGCAGGGAGATGTCTGATCGCCTCATACCGGCACCGATAAATTCCCAGTTGGGACATCACAGTTGACGTTCTGACGGTAGACGTCACTACAAGACGTCAAACAAGCCTTTAGCAGGATTACAATGTTTTGATTTAAAGCTTTCGTGACTGCAGTAATTCATATTCTTAGCTCTTTCGGTAAAGTCACGTTGAAGGGAAACAATCAAATAATAAAATACGTCTAAGAAGCTTGCGTTCTGCACATCGGCACAAATGCTGGCGTTATGTGGCAAGGCCCCTATCGCTGTCTGTGGGCTGACTTACGTGTCGCTCTCTGCGTTGTTGACAGACAAGGCCCCTTGCTCACGCACGGTCAAGTTAAACAAATTAAATACGTGTCCAATGCAAAACATTTGGTGGATTATGAGCCGGGAAATCGCCTTTTGGTCAAACCTAAAGCACGGTAGAACAATGGTCCCACGATCAACGTCCTCATTGAGAAAAAAAACGAGTCAAAATGTATCACTTTAAAACAAGCTGCACTGGTCAAGTTTGTAAACAGTTGTCTTGGCAAATTTATTTAATTATTAACTTATTAATTAACTTAACCCCCCTCCTCCCTCGCGTGTGACCCTCACGTGACCCCCCCCCCTCACGTGACCCCCCCCTCCCCCCGCAGCCGGGGGTTGAGCAGACCTGGCGAGTAAACTCAACACGCAGCAGTAGCAGCAGCAGTAGACACAACACGGAGCAGTAGACACAACACGCAGCAGTAGACACAACACGTAGCAGTAGACACAACACGTAGCAGTAGACACAACACGCAGCAGTAGACACAACACGCAGCAGTAGCAGCAGTAGACACAACACGCAGCAGTAGCAGCAGTAGACACAACACGCAGCAGTAGACACAACACGCAGCAGCAGCAGTAGACACAACACGCAGTAGCAGTAGACACAACACGCAGTAGCAGTAGACACAACACGCAGCAGTAGACACAACACACAGCAGCAGTAGACTCAACACGCAGTAGCAGTAGACACAACACACAGCAGTAGACACAACACGCAGCAGTAGACACAACACACAGCAGTAGACTCAACACGCAGTAGCAGTAGACACAACACACAGCAGCAGTAGACACAACACACAGCAGCAGTAGACACAACACGCAGCAGTAGACACAACACACAGCAGCAGTAGACTCAACACGCAGCAGTAGCAGCAGTAGTAGTAGACAACACGCAGCAGTAGCAGCAGTAGTAGTAGTAGACACAACACGCAGCAGCAGGAGCAGGAGGAGCAGCAGGAGCAGCAGCAGGAGCAGGAGGAGCAGCAGGAGGAGGTCACCTCAGGTGAATGTTTGACCACGAGGCTGCTGCTGCTGTCTGTGAGGCGCGCGGTCACCGTCGCTAGGCCGAGATTTCTTCGCACTGCACTTCCGGGTTGGCCGCGTTGGATCCGCCCACGACGGGTGCCGCGATTGGTCAGAATTCCCGACCCTCTCGTCACCGTAGTGACGCAACCCGAGTCACGTGGTTAAGGTTCATGAACTCTGCCGTTAGTGACGTTGATGAATTTTGTTGTTCCACCTTCAAGATATTTACATCACACTTTGTGTTTATTTGTTTAAATGTCTTCCCTGGCCGTGCAAATAATCAGAAAAACTATTATTTAGTTGTATGTTTTGTAAATTTCGTCCAATTATTGTGTTCAATTGTTCATTTTTCACCTCTATTAATGAGGTGACACACACAGTGTACACACACACAGTGTATATACACAGTGTACACACACACACAGTGTACACACACACAGTATATACACACACAGTATACACATAGTACACACACACAGTGTACACACACTGTACACACACAGTGTACACACACAGTACACACACACAGTGTACACACACAGTGTACACACACACAGTACACACACAGTATACACACACACAGTGTACACACACACACAGTACACACAGTGTACACACACAGTGTACACACACACAGTATACACACAGTACACACACAGTGTACACACACAGTATACACACACACAGTACACACACAGTGCACACACACACAGTGTACACACACAGTGTACACATACACAGTGTATACACAGTGTACACATACACAGTGTATACACAGTGTACACACACAGTGTACATACACAGTGTGCACACACAGTGTATACACACAGTGTACACACACAGTGTACACACACAGTGTGCACACACAGTGTACGCAAACAGTATACACACACACAGTGTATACACACAGTGTAGACACAGTGTACACACACAATGTACACACACAGTGTACACACACAGTGTACACACACAATGTACACACACAGTGTACACACACAGTGTATATACATAGTGTACACACGCACACAGTGTACACACACAGTGTACACATACACAGTGTATACACAGTGTACACACACAGTGTACATACACACACAGGGTATACACAGTGTACACACAGTGTACACACACAATGTACACACACACAGTGTATACACACAGTGTACACACACACAGTGTACACACACAGTGTACACACACACACAGTGTATACACATAGTGTACACACACACAGTGTACACACACACACAGTGTATACACAATAATGTCCACGTTGTTGCTGAGCTCACACACCCAAGGGAGGGAGCAATGGAAAATGAATCTAAATCAACTTAAACTCCAACTCTGTGACGTCACCACTCTGCATTACCTCATCGGCGAGAAACACCAGGGGGAGGTGTACCTCGCTAATGACGTCATGTCACCACAGTATTCACCCCTCCCCCGTCCACCGCGCTTTTGAGCGTGACGTCACCTCCGCTTGGGTCACTGCCGATATCGTTCCAGTGGCAATCCTTATTTGGGCAAAGCTACGCCCAGTGACTGTTTGTTCATTAACATAATGTGTCCGTTAAAGCCGTCGCGAGTTTATTGTGACGGGTTCAGCGCTCACGCCCCCATCCCTCCACAAATGGGCCGCGCTCATTAACATAATTTATTCAGTTAGAGAGCCGCTCGTGGGAGTAAAGTGACGTCATACTACTTCCTGCTGTCGCGAGGCAACAGGAAGCTGCCGTGTGCGCGCTTGCACTGAAATCCGAGGTGAGAAATTCTCATCGTTGTGGTGGTGGTGGTTGTTGTTGTTGTTTACCAAGGTAGAGCCTCTCGCTCTCTCTCGTAGGGATGTCAGTTGAGTAGCAGCGAGCATGGGAATCGATGTCCAGGTTGGAACTTTACAACGCGGGGCCTAGCCACGCGGGGCCTTGCCTCCTGCCCTCGCCTGATTGCGTTTACTTTAATTATCTCTCTTAAGTTTAATTTGTCTTCACCCGGCTCGCCACTTTGTAACTTTGTTTTATTGTAAATATTCACGCAGTTTTTATTTTCTTTTGTTAGCAGGCCAAGCCCGCTTGAGCTGCTATACCGCTCTTGTTATCAGAAGCGACCTGCCCACAACAACACAAGGTGAGGCTTTGTCAACGTGTGTGAATGTTTTGACTTAAAACTTTGGTGACTGCAGGAATTAAGATTCTTGGTTCTTTCGGTAAAGTCACGTAGATAGAAAATTTAATAAAAATAACAAATTATAATTTAAATAAATTTTTTTAAATAAAGCAAAAAACCCACGACATTTCGATCGCAACACAAGTGGTCTTTATCTTATTGAACCAACAATACGTGCATCAATGTCTATCGGTCAAAGACGCTAAGCGCGTGCCGCTGTTGACTCTGAATGTGTGGAGGGGAACACCTTCACCACGGGGAGAGAGAGACAGAGACACGGATAGCCTCGGCTATGTTGATTGATCCTCGATTCATTACTTGGTGGAGTGAGGAAGAATTAATGCTGAGCAGATGAAGGTGGCCAGGCATGGTTCTGGTCACACCACCACCTGTTTACTCATGGCAGTGTGTGACAGTGTCAAGTTTGTGTTTGCAGTAAAGTCTATTAACTCTATTGCACACGGAGGTTATATCAAAACAATAGGTTATTTTTGTTTTCCTCTGGAAATCTTCATACGAATGGAAACAGGAGGTGAACACAGCACACACATGCAGCTGAAGTCGGATCTGTTCATCCCAGCATTCAAGGACATCTGAGCCTGGATTCACACCTCTAAGTTGCGATTGAACATTAATTTATGCATTTCTGCATAACACAAATAGTATTGTTTTCAACACCCTTTGCTATGTCAGCTGAATTTAGCTTTAATAAATATTCCTTTTGTAGTCAGACAGCCGAAATTGTGTGCTTAGAGTTTTGAGTTAACATTCATCTTGAAGATATGAAGGCTTCCAGGCATATTAATGACATTTTCCCTCTCATTGTGTGCCATAACAGCCCGTGGAGAGAAACCCTTCAGGTGCACTCTGTGCGTGAAGGCGTTTGCACGTTCATCAAATCTGATGAATTTGGGAAACTTTTTCACATCATGAATATATTAATAAGTATAGACGTGTAAGTCACGTGTGCATTCCTCTGTGCCTGACGTGTAGATGGTGTGGATATTATTTTTTTCTGTCTGCAGCTGACGCTTCCTCTGCAGAAT